TATAACAAGAACCATCGGCAACTCATGATGATAAAGTATTAAAATAAAAAAAGGCAATAAAAATATAATTTTAATTTTAAATTTCTTTCAGAATGAATCATATCGCGACGACAGAGTGCGTGTACCTGCGCGTTGCCGACATTGCCAGGACATTAGCTATATTCATTCCGGGGTCTCGAGCTATCCCGATCAATAATTCGTTTCCCAGCTGTCACGCCCCTTGTTCTAAACGAACGAACGAACAAAGGATCGAACAAATGTGAATGTAATACCAACGAAAATTATACTACAATTATAGTACAACACTATTATTTAGTCTCGTTCAGAGTTTATCTTCCCAAGTCGAAACACTTCACGGTAGTTGCAATGTCTTCACGATACTCGGAAAGCATAACGTTTGCTTTTGGCGCTTATTTCTTATCTTATTATCATGATAAGGATACCATGATGAACAGCCAAATCGAATTTATCCATATTATAAGATAGCAGCCAACTTTTGTTCTCTTGTATCTTTTACTAACTTTTTATCCAATAAATAACTATATTTCGCAACGGATCACTAGACACGCCATCTTTTGAAAAAGTATCAAAATTTTTGTATTTATCTTCAATCAGATAATAAACATCTAACATCAACTTTAAGTCATCTACAATTCATATAGATTCGGGATAAATTTTTATTTATGTGCCATGTAATACAAAAATATTTTAAAAAATCAAAATACACACTCATATGCATAGCACATAAAATAAAATTTTAATATTAAAAAATTGTATCCTGAAATCTGATGCAAACTATATAAACAACATGAAATCATACTTAGAACTAAAACGATAGTGTATTTTCTACAAGCTTATTTCATTTCATTTCATTCCGAGTTCTTCTCTAAAAGATCGTCGATCATAAAAAAAGATTCCTTAATCGATAGATTCCTGATCTTTCTCGGAGATTTTCTCGATTGAATCGACTTTTGCCAGCCGGGTTGCCAATGCCCCCAGAAAACTGAGATACCACCAGCTGTGTTCACCCGCTTCATTATCTACCGAGTGAACGCAGAGTGGCTCCCTGTCCTCCGAAAGCTCGTTCCGTTGATTCTCTTGTATGTGCACTATCTTACCGACTGGATAATGGCATATAATCGTCACGCCGCTTTGCGGGATATTTCCTTGTTACGAATCTCCGGTTATCTCAACGTGAAACATCGTATTGTTTCTACTAAACGCACCACGTGATGTCTCCTTATCGATCGAGCTCAATATCCTCACACATTACACTTTTCATTATATGAGATTTGGCATTAAACATATATATATTTAATGAACAACTGAGAGAAACAGGCAATTTCTCGGCAAACAGAATCTTAGATGCTAAAATTTCAATATGAAATAAATTCAAATAATTGTATTACCAATCACGTGCCATTATTTTTAGCTTGCAACGTAGCGGTAGGTTCTACAATTCGATACTTTGATATCAATTAAAAATCTCTTTTATTATCCTCAATTCCTCAGCAAACAGGATCTTAGATGCTAAATTTAAAAATATATATATTTTTTAACGCATGGATTATATCTTTTCCAGAAAATTAATAAAAATTAATAAAATTAACAACGACTATAAATATTTATTATAACTTAGTGACTTAGCTATTTGTTACAGTTATTGAATTTCTGTTAAAAAGTAATTTCGTTTAACCTGCCTGCAATTGCGAAAAGTTGTAATAGAGAAATAGCTGAGAAACCATAAGCGTAACAAAAGTAATTACCGCGCATCATTAACGAGCATTAATATAGTTCGTCTGATTACGCATGACGTATTACGTTTGCTCAACCTTGAGTCAACCTATAATATGACGATAACTGAGAAAAATAAGATCGATTTTCTTTTATATATATATATATATATATATATACTTTATGTACTAAATTTATTTTAGTACGACTATT